GGCTGGCCTTTATCTGGTAATAAGGAGAAATGAGATGTCTGAGGTCCAATATAAAGTTAATAAAGTATTTTAAATCATTGTTTGCTATTACAGTGTTAGATAGTTGTGGTTGGTTTGTGTTTTTCATTAGCATTGGCTTATTCTCATTGCAAGAACCACCATTAAAGCACTCCAATATTTCATTGAACACACAACCAAAGGAAAGAGAACTAAAGAATTTAAACCTTAAAGACAAAATCCTAAGATTGGAAAGGCTCTCAAGGGTCATGTTGTTCAGCATCGTTCATAGACTCAAGATTAATTGCTCCAGAACTGTACTTGAGATTCCTATCCAGCCTTTTCTTTAAAACTTCCAGTGAAGGAAATTCAACAACTTACCTGGACAGTTTGTTTCATTTACCAACTGTTTTTGACGTTTTGAATTTTGTTCTGAGGCTTGGTCTCAATATGCCTTTCTTGTAGTTTAAGCCCATGGCCTGTTATCTTGCCCTCTGGTATAAGAGAGGATGATTTCTCTCCTCATTTTTGGCAGCATTTAAAATATTTGAAAGCTGCTATCAGGTTCCCCCCTTATTTTTCTTTTTTATGAGCAAAATATGCTAAGTTCTTTTAAACCTCAATCTTACAGGTTGTTTTCAACCGCTTTATCATCCTTCATAGTTTCATAGTAGCTAGGGTTGCTCAGGAGGGACCTGAACAGATCATCTCGCCTGCCCCCCTGCCACAGGCAGGAATGAATGCTGGGTTCACAAGACCCCAGACAGGTGATTGTCCAACCTCCTCTTGAATTTGCCCAAGGTAGGGGTGAGGACCACTTTCCTGGGAAGTTGGTTCCAGATTTTGGCCACCCTAACTGTAAAATATTGCCTTCTGATCTCTAACCTAAACCTATTCTCCATCAGCGTATGACCATTGTTCCTCGTCACCCCAGGTGGTGCTGGGGAGAAAAGGGTTCTGCCCATTTGCTGTTGATCTCCCCTGATGAGCTTGTAGGCAGCCACCAGGTCCCCCCTCAGCCTCCTCTTGCTGAGGCTGAACATCCTTGTTGCTTGCCTCTGGATCTGCTCCATTTTCTCTGTTCTTCTTAAAATATTGTACCTGAAATGGGACACAGTACTCCAGCTCAGGGCTAACCAGAAGTCATAGAATCATAGATAAAACCCTGCCTTGTATACAGTGCTTTTATTAATGCTATCCAAAACTGCGTTTTGTTGTGTGTTTTTGAGTTTTTTTTCTTCTTTGCAGCAGCCTCCCTTGCTGATTTGACTTGAGTTTGTAACCCCCAGATTCATCGTGGCAATGTTACTGCACAGCTGGTTATCTCCCATTCTGCAGTCTCCTAGGATTAGGGTTAGTGTATGACTAGTCTGTATCAAGAGGCCTGTACCAAATCCAAGAACCAGAAGACTCGGGCCCTGTGAGGTTTGAGCTGTCTGTCTGTCTGTGAGTTAATAATCTCTGTGCTGGGTCTGTTGGAGAACCCAGGCTTGCCACTCCTGCGTTCTAGCTGGGAGGCCCTTTGGGAAGCATTTTGCACCAGATTTACCTGATTCCTTACTACTTTCAACCTTGTAAGCATGTTTCATCATATACAACCTTGAAATATCATTTCTATCTTCCTGGGCAACCCCCTTGATGGAAAGTGTCCAATCATTTCACCTCTTTGAGCTTTTTTCTCTCTCTGATCTGCAGTCTACTTGTTCTGGCAATGGCTGGAGTGTAACATTAAGCTCCCCAAAAGATGGGGGAAAGCAGCTCATTTTTAACCCTTTAGCTGCTGAAATATCTTGGAGAGTATATACTCCATGGAAAACTGCTCGGGGTTTCTTATTGCTGGACTACAAATTACTCCTAATTTGAAAAAGATACAAATACTTTTCCCCACAGTGATGGAAGTTTGTTTGTTTTTTTAAATAAATATTGTACATACTTACTTTCTAGGTAGAAATGCTGTATGAAGAAGCTTTATACACTGTGGTTTATAGATCAGGAGTAGTATCATCAGAACATACTGCCAATGAAGATAAACTCTTTGAGTATCTGCAAAAGGTAAGGCAATATTCTTGACTCATTCCTGTTAAAAAATAAGGGGGATTTCTGTCAATAGAATAAATAAGACTTCAGGTTCACCACCTGAGCATGAGTGAGAATAATTAGCCCAACATCAACTTAATATAATTGCTTGTCTAATGAATGAGAGGGCACTTGAGTTTCCAGTATTGTAGAATGTGTCTACGACGTTCAACATTAAATATTTAGTGAGAGCTGCAGTTCTGAGAAGGTGTCCTAGAGTAATTCTGTTGACAGAGGTGGTACTCATGAAAATTAGGGCAGATATGAAGTATCAGATGCATTTTGCAAAATCCTTTTGTGAAATCAGTTTTCTTATGAACTATCATGTCCTTTGTGATATTTCTAGTCCACCCTGCCCTTTCTTGTAGCTCCCTCTCTTCTACCTCCTGACTCTCAACATGCTAGTGTACAGCTTTAGGTTGCAGTTTGCCACCACCTTTTCTTATTTTTGTTTCCCATGACTTGCCTTGGTCTCTTGTTCTTCAGTAGAAAATTCAGATTAGTGGTTGCATCTTTTGGTTTCCTGCATACATTGTTTCTCTGAACTCTAATGATTTCTCCGCAGTTCAGTGGACATTTATTCATTAGAATATTCATCCATGCACCAGCTTGGCTCGTCACCTACCAATTCATTTGCACTTGTTGCCAACCTCCCCACTTATTTGTCTGTTCACTTGCCAAAATCCTCAGAATTTATATGGCATGGACATTTAAAATAATTTTTTAGAGTCTTAGACTTGAAATACTAATTATAATTAAAAAACCCCTAATGTTGTGTTGTTGTTGTTGTTCACTGTTTCTCTGAATACCAGAGACAATTTTAGTATAACTGAATAATGATGATAGTTGTTGTTAATAATATTTAATTCAATAATCTTATGATAAACTTACATTTTGGATTTTACAGTCCCTGTTCCTTCCAAATGTCCATAGCAGTAGGTACAGTTTTAGTCTTTCTGAGAATTAGTCTATGTCCAGTGTTCCCTCTGGGGCAGCTGGAGTTGTTTCAGCAGAATACTCTTCAGGATTTATTTCTGATTCTGTGAGTAGTCCTCCATGGACAGATGGAAGTGAGTGGGACATGGCATTCCACATTTACCACCTGGAAATGTGCCACAGTTACTCAAATCCATTCAACCCGGGGAAGGGAAGCCCCTTGTCTTACATGCAGGTAAAGGGGCGGGGGCAGGGGCAGGAGAGGGTTGTCTTAAATTCAAAGTTTTCTGGTATTCGGGTCAATATAGTAATTCCGCACCACTGGTGTGTTCCAATTGATGGTCCACTCCTAGAACTCCACCACAGAGAGAAACCTGACTCAATGAAAAACATTGCAGCTTCTGAAAATGTCAGTTCTGTGAGGAGAGAGAGAAAGAGGTGCAGGCCCATTTTCCTAGGACTCGAGAGAACACTGCTAGGTCCTAGAAATCGACTGTTGAAAACAGCTTTTTCTTGTGTTGTGTATTGTTCTGAGAGTAATTTTCTGTCGCTAACTCCGGAGAGTTCTGTAGACAAGCAACTGGGCGAAGGTCCCCGCACGTTAAGAACACATTTTAGCGAAAGCTACATATGGAAGGGAGGCTAGGCTACTCGTCCATGAATTTTACAGGCTAGGCAGGAGCATAGTAAAGCCCTATTACAGTTGGTTTTTTGAGTGAGGTATAAACTTTAGAGACGTACATATGCCTCCATCCTCCATAACCAGTCACAGCGCTGAAAGTCTTTGTACAGAAGCAGCTTCAGGTATACTAGAAATCAAACCTCCTAATAGTCTCTTCCACTGTGGGTGAAAACTGTTCACTCCTCTTTTTGATGGTAAAGATCTGAACAGATTCATGCAGGATGGGTTCATCGGTGGCTGTTGACCATGATAGGGCTGCAGACTCCAAATTAGGACTTCCAAGACCTCTGAATGCTGGAAACTAGATATAAAGGGGCTGGTGACAGATGAGTCAGGCTGGGTCTTGCATAAATACTTAACATTCACTCTCGGCTTCTGTAAGATACAGGATACTGGGATAGGTGGGCCTGTGGTCTGACCCAGTCTGGCATATTTGCAAATTTAACCAGACTGGTTAATGTGTAAATCTTAGTTTCTTTTCTTCAGGCTTGTCACTTTATATTTTCACCTTCCTTTACTGCTGTGATAGCTGTTACCTTAAGAACCTGCTTTTCATTGTGGCTAGTTCAGATTTCATTTCCTCATATGTACTTGTGTGTTAAGTTTAAGTCTTGTAAATGTTTATTTGTTTAAAATTGTCTGCTGTCTTTTTGCTGTTTTTATTAACAATTGCTATACACCAGGATCTATCATGGTAAGTAGCTTTACGTGTCTTTTAGTGTTTGTCTTTCAACGTTAAACATTATTTTAAAATTGTAATCAAATCTCATATAATGATTATGTGCTTGCTTCCTAAAATTATAAAATGATATGCTCTGAATTGCTTTTTCTGGAATACAGTACAAGTATATTAATAAAGGGTTGGTTAATGTTAACTCTCTTGCAGAGAGGATTGGGGAAAAATGACAAAATATGGGAAGTTTTTTTTGTTTTGTTTTATCTGTACTTTTTATTGTATGACTCTGCAACCAACTAGCTATATTTGGAAATTCATTAAAATTCTGGTTTTATCTAAGGATGGAAAAAGTGATTCAGAGAGAGTGATAAAACTATCTTCTTTTTATCAAACTGAACCCAAAATAAGCCTATCTGATGGTGTGGGGAAAACTAATTTGGCTGTTTCTACACATGTATGTTTAAAGGTAGAGCTAATGCATTTTTTTTCTTTCTTGCTTATCCTTGCACTTTGTACTGCCTGGAAGCAGAAGTAATGGTATACCATGGAGGAAAAAAAGGCCATTTACTTGGTATTTCTCCCAACAAGAATTAAAAAAAGATACTAGATCTCTCATCAGACAGCTCATTCTTGTGACATTTCCAGCTTGATTCTTGAATCCAAACAAGTTCAGAGTTTCACATAGAACAGATTTGTGTGGGTTGTACAAACAGCTAATGGGACAATTAGGGGAAGACATGAGATGATCATCACAATTTATTATCAGATTTTTTCTGAACAGATGCAGTGATTGATACAGGCGGCATGTAGCAACCTGCTTGAGTTCCTTGGAACTTCCTCTGACCTTCTTGTCATATTAGCAGTAAATCAGAAAATAAGCCATAAGCTGCCTCTTATGCCCAGGCTATGTAGTGGGTCCCTGGAACCCACTTCACATTCTGTGGCAGAGTCACTGCTTACTAAAACGATGGGATTTTTGTAGTATGTACCCCCTTCCCCTACTACACATCTGGTTTTCAAGTTATTTTTATTCTTATTAAATAGAATAATACAATACAGTTATTAAAGAGTGGCCCTGGAGAGCAGCAAGTAAGTTGATAGCATAAAATAACTGATTTATGTTTTATATTTTAGGTCTTTGGAGTGAGTGTGAATGAGCATGAGGTTATTCTGCAGCGGATCAGGGAGACAAAGGTAACAAACATATATTCCTCAGTCTTCTAGGAGTATGATGGGCTTATTTGTGTCAGTTTAGCACAGGCTTTTCAGTTTTGTTTTTCAATTTTGATAGCTTTAATCCACAATTTTTGAATTCTGCTTTCTTATGGCAAGGGGATCTTATGGAGAATGAGATGTGGGCATGAAGAATTTTATGTTCCTACCCACTTGTCTTTAGGGACAGTTAGTACACATCTGTGCCGTAAGACAAACTTCTGCTATGTGAGATCGATTACGCAAGACAACAGCATTTATGTACTAATTTTAGTGACCAACAACTTGCCCTCTCAGTTATCAGGAAGATTACTGTCCATAACATCCTGAAGTAAGGAAAACCAAATGAAAAGAGAGTCGCAGATCCTTAGAAGCTAAAGATGGAAAATGGCCATCATGTTATTCAAATCTCTTTCCTGCTCATCATGTTCCCTATGCACTTTAGAGAATGCCTGATTTTCAAATTTCATCCTCTGTCTGGCTAAGTGGAGTGAGAATGGTACATGGAGTCTTATTTAGCTTCTCAGTTCTTGTCCTGTAAAGCACGTAGCATACAATTGGTATGATATTGAGTAAAATTATGTATAGTCAGCTCTTCTGGGCTGGGAGCTAGCTGCATTTTGACCTGCCTTTTGTTGTGGTGGTCCTGATCTGTGACTTGGGCTTTTACCCGCTACTGCAGAAAATGGCTCTGGAGAGAATCTTTGGAGAAAGTTGACAGGTGAGCTTTTTTGTGGAGTGTCTCTAGGTAGGCCACTTGAGGAGAATCCTGGATATTTAATGTCATGTCAGGGGATCAGAGCAATTGCAGAGACAGGGCTTTGGCAAGCCTTAGGGAAGTGGGTGGCCATCCTGTGGCGCACAGCAGATCAGGGAGGGAACAGGCATCACAATGGCAGATAAGGTGGGGAGGAGAAAGTAGAGGTTCAGCTCAGTCTGGGAGTAATGGGCAGGGAGCAGAGCAGCAGACCAGATAAGGGAATTGGTAAAGGTTCAGTTTACTGAAGAGCTTAATTAAATTCTTTTAAGTGTTACTGGCACATGGCAGAAAGATTTGGTGGGGAGAGACATTTATTTGCTTTCTTTACATTCTTCACTGAAAAGCAGCCAAGCCTCTGTTCACTTCCAGAGTGGGTATGTTGGAATTGTAAAAAATTAATTTTCCTTGCTGTTTGTGGTTTTGGGAGGTTCCATGGTTAGTGCTTTTCTATTTCAAAATTAAGCTCTGATATTTATCATAGTGCTGATAGTAACAGTAAGTTTCATGGAGATTCTGAACCCAACATCTGAGCCTCCATATCTTTTTGCAGTCATTTAGGATGTCCATTCACCTATTATTGGGTATTGATTGTTTATTTTGGGATAATATGGGGCAGTAGTGTATTTGTCTGCTTAAAAAAGAGGTTATCTCTCTAAATAGAAATGTGACTAGATCAGGGGTGGCCAGCCTGTGATTCCAGAGCCACATGCGGCTCTTCAGAAGTTAATATGCGTCTCCTTGAATCTTTTCACAAGCACATGGTGACCAGCTTCCAAATGGTTAGATTCTGAGTTGGGTTCAGACCCTGCGTCTATGAGGGACCCCAAATGGAAGCTGGTCACTGTGTGCTTGTGCAAAGATTCAAGGAGAGGCGTATTAACTTCTGAAGAGCTGCATGTGGTTTCAGAGCTGCAGGTTGGCCACCCTCGGACTAGATAAAGGGCTAGCATATTAATTTTTTTTCTAAATCAAACATTTTTCCTGTATTTTGTTAGGGTCCGGGTTATGCTTTAAAAGTTACAGTTGTGGAAGCAAAGAATCTTCTAGCCAAAGATAGCAATGGTGAGTTCTACTGTTTGTTTTGATATATATATGATGTCTTTCCATATTTTTCATTTGAAAATCTTTAGTTTAACAATGTTTTTATACATGTTAATCATATAGCAAATGGTGAAATCTTCACGGAAAATTCAGTGATTTTAATGGTCTGTACTAAGCATATCAGTTCATCCTGTGGAAGGATTTGATAGACAGAAGAAAACTGGATTGTGACTTCTATGAGGCAGGGTTTATAATTTTATCAATATGCATTGATGGCCTCCCCCACTCCCCAATATACACATTGTTATCCCAATCTTAAGACTATCCCAGGCACAACTGAAAGTACTATAGCTTGTATTCACCTATAACTCCCCCAAAGGGCATTCTTTCTGCTGTGATTTGATGGGGTGCTATGGTATACCAATTTCTCTTAGGTGAGTTTCCCATCAATATATACTCTGCAGTTAAGTGAAGATAGGGGAAAGCGTAGGACCACATAAACTGACCCTAGGTTTCTGTAGATTCCTGTTTCCCAGTGGAATCTTTGGGTAGCAATTGGTCAGTTTAGAACGGTCATATTCTGAGTTAGGTTCAATCCCTGCATATATGAGGAACCCCAAAATGTGGAATTCTTGATTTACCTTTTAATGGGACATTAATTTAGTCAGAGGACTAAATTGTAGACATCCTGTGACTAAGGATTGATGGAGAAAAAGAATCTCATTAGACACACTCTTCTCTAGCACTTGTACTGAGAGTTACATCACCCTCAACATCCTTTCTCATGAGTAAAACAGGACCTCTTCCATGTCCTTTTTCTGATGGCAGAGCACCAGAAGGACTTCATATTTCCTTGATGTCTCACTGATGCTACTCCTGTTTCTCACCCTTTCATATTTTACACTTGTTCTGCCAGACCAACCACTGGAAAAACTGGTGGGTAGTAAGTGGCCCACACAAATGGCAGTAGCCTGCTACTGCTGTGAGTCATTCCCTTAGTCAGTGTTGTAGCAGTGCATGCTGTGAATCTAGAGGTTCTTTGGTTCATGCTTACTGATGACCCATGCCAGAGAGATAGTACAGCTTCATGTGGTAGAATATCTTAGTTAAATTGTTTTAATTGGTTACAAAATAAAACAGTCTCCATTAAAGAACCACACGTTAAGGTCGGGTTGCAAAGTCAAGCACTCAGAAATTAAGACAGGAGTGTTAAGGTTGTTCATGTAGGTTTAATACTTCCTACTATGATTGATGATTATATCCTGCTTCATTCATTTTGTAGGATGGACAGTGCACAAAGTAGAGGGTTACAAGAAGAAAGAGGATTTTCTTTTTCAGTTAAAGCACTGGATTGGGGTTAGGAAAAGAGATGAGTTCTATCTCCAGCTCTGCTACAGTTTCCCTGTATAATATTGGGCAAATCTATGCATATGCACCAGTGGATAGAGTTAAGGTTGCACAGGTAACTTCAAATCTGTCTTTTCTAAACCTGTGAGCGCTTGATTTTTTGAGAACAGCTTTCATAATCCTTTAATAGAGTACTGTATGGACAACAATCTCTTTAACATCAACCAATTATGTTCCAAATCAAGATAACCAGTGCCTCCATTACTAGTCTTTGATGTACTGATGATTGCGTTGTATGTGCCCACTCAAGTGAAGAGTTCCAGATCACTGCTGATTGTTTCTGTGAAGCATATGAAGTGCTAGGACTTGCTGTCAACCTCACAAAAATCAAGATCTTTTACCAACTCACCCCAAACCAACCAGCTGCTGTTCCACACATTCCAATTAGAAGACAGTCTTTGGAGAATGTTGAGCATTTCTGATACCTAGGTAGCCGCCTTTCCCAAAAAAGGAACATAGATGATGATATTCACAGCATATAAAATCTTCCGGTGCTGCCTTTTGATATCTCTGAAATTGTCTTCTATGATCATGACATCAGGACCCAAACCAACTTCTTGTCTACCAGGCTGTTGTCATCCCCACCCTGTTATGTGGGGACAAAACTTATACAACATACCAGAAACACCTAAAACCTTGGGAATGTTACTGTTAGCAGCATCTTCAGAAAATCCTCCATGTCAGCTGGAAGGACAACAGAATGAACAGCAGTGTTCTGGCTCAAGCAAACACCACCAGCATTGAAGCCATGTTTATATAGCACCAGCTCCTTTGAACAGGACATGTCATAAGGATGCCTGACAGGTCCTACACTCCCAACTCACCGCTTTAGAGGTGGGCAAGAAAAGAGATTGAAGAAGAGACTGAAGTAGTGTGATATTAACATCAATATCTGGGAGACTTAAGTATGGAATTGTCCCAAATGATACTGTGATGTATGACAAGGCATTGATCTCAAACTCGCTTCACTATGGAGGCAGATAGACAAGAGAAAAAAAGGAAAAGAGCTGTGACCTGATATCACCAGGATCTACTCCTTCCTCCTGGAACTGTTTGCCATGTCTTCAGTCAAACTTGTAGATCTTGGATTGGCCTCCTCAGTCATCTACAGACTCACCAGTGACTTCCCCATTTACTGAAAGACTCATCTTTGTATTGGGAACGGATGCCGTTGTATGACTGGAAGGACAGAGACCAGTGTTTTCTGGCCATCCCCCTCCAGGTCTGGCACATTTCTTGCACTAGAAAAGGACTTGAATGGGGGAGGTCATTAAAGAGCAGGAATAGTCTTGACTGGCCTTGTGCTAGCCAAGGATTTTCATGCCAGGAACGTTGTAAGCTGTATATGTGCTGGGTTTTAGGACTTGTTTACACCAGTGGAGTGGTATGAAGGAGCAGTAACATGGGCTAAGAGATCTGACTTTATGGTGGCATTAGAATCGGTGATAGTATTCCTTTCCTCCCTAATGCTGTATTTCCTGACTTTTCTTTCACTGTACAGGCTTTATATTATCCTTTTTAATTTTAATATAGGAAAGTTTCTATGTAAATGCGCTGCACTGCAGGAGTTAGCATGAAACGTACATCTGACCTTTGTCTCTCATAGTGCAACGAGATGATGCCAAAGCAACAAGTGACTCCTCTTCTTTGCTGTTTGGACAGGTTTCAGTGATCCTTATTGCATGCTAGGAATCCTGATAGGACAACAGTACGCAAAAGAACCAGAAGAAAAGAAAGAAAGAAAATTTAGTTTCAGAAGAAAAAAGGAGAAGATGGAAAAATGGTCTAGTGTAAAAGATGCACTCCCAGCAAAGTATATCCAAGTCACAAAAGTCAAGAACAATACCCTAAACCCAGTTTGGAATGAGAACTTTCTTTTGTAAGTATGTTATGTAGTGTGCAGATACCTTACTCTGAATTAGGCCTTGTCCAGCTCTTAGAAGTGCCAGCTAGTTTCTCCTTTAGAGAATGCAGAATTATTCCTTATAGTATACCAGTTAACATCTGTTAAGTAAGTCAGTGAAGGATCAGGAGGTCTCCCAGGCACAGAGAATTTTTTTTCCATTCTTTTCCCCAACTTTAATATGATGAGCCTTCATCAAGAGGAATTACTTTCCCGTTTTTATTGATAAAGTCTTACTTCCTTGAGGAAGGACAGGTCTTACCAGAGAATGTGACACTGTTCTCATCCTGTCCCAAATAAATATTTTTTTCTGCAAAGCAGGTGCTCACCTTTTCATTTTGTCACCTGCACTTCAGTGCATTAAACTTCCATTTTTTGATTTTACTGTCTCAGTTTTGGTGTCTAGCGAATGCTTCCTGCATTACAAGGACAGTAGAACATTTGTGTTATTTTGAAGCCGTTCTGAGCAATAATGACATAATATTTTGTGGCCAACTCTGCTGTTCTGTTGGTTATTGCTTAACTTAATGTTTCAGCTATAAAAAGCCAATTTTATAGTGGCTTTGGGGAATTATGGCTGAGATTGTAGGGTAGAGAGTGCTTTATATCTGAGAGATGCTGAGGGGCCTTTAGGAATACTTAAGAAGCCTAGGAGGCATCGCACAATAGGCTGTGGGGTGGGCAGGCGTTATACCTGCAGGAACTTGTGTCCACAGGGCTGTACAGAGAAATTGTAACAGTTGGAAAAAAATTGAAAATGGTGCTTTTTCTTTCTGTAACTGAACACGAGCTCTTCTTTTTTGCAGTGAAATAGACAACACTTCCATGGACCAGCTGCACCTGGATATCTGGTACAGTTTTAGTATGGCTACATTTCTCCCCTCTCGTAAGGGACACTAGTCATTTCAGTGGACATGCAAGACAGTTACTTTCGCTAGTGAAGCATAAAAATGCATGTTTCCAAGGCAACGGTAGAGCAGCTTCCTAGGTGGGTAAAACTGACATGCACTTTCTGTTCTCTATTTCAGGGACCATGATGATGATGTATCAGTAGCAGAAGCTTGTAAGAAACTGAATGAAGTATCTGGCTTTAAGGGAATGGGCAGGTACTGTAGAATGGAATGGAAACTCATGCTTCTATTGAGAAAATCTTTAAAAAACATTATAGTAGGGAACTATTATACCTTCTGTCTCATCACTTTTGATTCTGTATTCACCTGACTCTTGCTATGTTCTGTGGTACACATGGAAAAAATTCAGCCAAGTTTTCTAAGCAGTCTTCTAAGAGAGAGCCCAGAGGAAAGCCATGTGCATGAGAGAGCTCAGAGGAGAGCCATGTGCATGATTAGAGGTCAAGAGGAGAGGCTGAGAGGCAGGGGACTCTTCAGCCTGGAGAAGCAAAGGCTCAGGGGTGACTTGGTGGCAGCCTATAAGTATGTAAGGGGTGTGCATCAGGAACCGGGAGAACATCTGTTCACCAGGGCACCCCAAGGGAAGACAAGGTCTACCAGTCACAAACTGCTGGAAGACCGTTTGTCTATGAAATTATGACCGTTCTCCGCAGTCTGTTTTTTGAGCTCTGAATATGACTCTAAAGTCTTGTTGAAAAAATCTTTATTGGCAGTAGAGTATTTGCATCACTAGAGATGAAGTGAACAACACAGGTCAGTGTTTTCTGTGAGATTTATTTGGATGATAAGTCCCATAGAGCAGACAGCATGTCATGTCTTCCTTTGTGTCAGCTATTGATTAGTAATGAATCAAACAAAAGTTTAATTGTAACCATTTACTCTTTTCACTAGGTATTTTAAACAGATTGTGAAATCAGCCAGGGCTAATGGAACAGCTGGAGCTTCTGAGGACAATGCAGATGACTTCCTGGGCTGCCTTAACATCTCTGTTAATGTAAGTCAATAGCAGTTTCTGTCTGAGTTATATGTATAATTTCATGTGTGAAATGATGCCTGTCATTTGATCGGAATATTTAGAATCACCTGCAAAGTTTATTGAGGAATTATCATGCACATGTGGCTGAGATAAATTAGTGAATAGAACCAGTAGCTCTCCATCCTTTTCAGTTTTATTCAATTGTGAATAAAATTTGATTGATACTTTTTAAATCAAGGGATTTGTACATTTTAGGCCATGAGGGACCATTGTGACTATTCTTTTCTGAACTTATTCTTGTGTGAACTGTAGCATCTGTCTCAAAAAAGTTTCACAATCTTAATCTAAAAATTGCCAGTGATGGAGAATCCAGCACAGCCTTGGGTAAGTTATTCCAATGATTGACTACCCTTGTTAAAAAAAGAAATTATGCATTATTTCTAGTCCAAATTTGTCTACCTTCAGAGTCCAGATTGTGTCAGACCTACGTCTGCTAGAAGAGCCCTCTGTTACCAGATATCTGTTGGTAGATTGTGCTCAAGTGACCACCTACCTTACCATTTGATAAAATAAAGAGGTTGAGCTCTTACAGTCTTCAACTAAAAGGCACATTTTCCAGTCCTTTAATCGTTCTTGTAGCCACCTTAAATTCTAATTGTGCGGGCCGGGAGTGGTCCGAGGCTTTCGGGGGCGCACGGCGGGCTGTGGCCGGGAGCCCGCAACGGTAGGGCGGGTACTTTTGCACGACGGACTAGAATTAGGCACGGACTCGTAGCGGTTAATTAAAGATTGTTTTACTTACACCGTAGGTGGTCGCGGTGCAGGCAGGAAAAACTTTCTTGAGTTGCAGTTACAGACAAACACAAGTGGAGTTTGCTAGGCTCCACCGAAGACACACGCACGGAGTTTGCTAGGCTCCGCAAAAACAAACACGACAGAGCTCTGGATACCCTTGACGAGCGCGCAAAACCGTAGATACGTCTTAAGAATTTAACGAACGAGACGGGAAGAGGTTGGTGGTTGATCAGGCTGCCGAACTCCTCTGAGACGCACACAAAGTTTCTATTACTCTGCCGCGTGCTCAGAGTCCCCACGAGATGGTTGTGGAGTCCTCTATCACTTGGGCGGAAACTGCTCAAACCTCTTATACGACTAGCAAGCCAATCGCTAGCCACCACGTGGGAATAATTTAGAAACAGCCAATAGTGGGAAACAAATTTACATACGGGTGGTGGGAACTCCTTTGCACCAGGGTTTTCTCTCTGCAGCTGAGAATTGCACCGTGCAAAGAAAGCTCCATGTGTCGGGAAATACTTCTGCAGTGCCGATGCGCACACACAATCATTGGGTCATGACACTAATATTAGAAAAAAAGGTCTAAATTCTCCCTAGTGTAAAGCATCCTATCAGTATATCATAGTACAGCATAAGTACAGCAAAGCAGTTGTGTTTTATTACAGACTGTAAAGCAGTTTTATTGAGTATACTTGTTGTGCCACCTGATGCATTAGGGCAGAGCTTATCAGTATATTTGTTTTGGAAAGGATTGGTGGAAAACTGGGAGAGAGCAATTTAAATGCTGATGGCAAAATAAATTTGGTTAATGCTTTTGCAGATGTCTTTAAGTACTAAGGGGTATGCATCAGGACCTGGAGGAACACCTGTTTACCAGAGCACCCCAAGGGATGACAAGGTCTAATGGTCACAAACTCCTCCAGAACCATTTCAGGCTGGACATAAGGAAAATTTTCTTTACTGTCCAAGCCCCCAAGGCCTGGAACAGACTCCCCTCAGAGGTGTTACAAGCACCTACTCTGGACTCTTTTAAGAAACCTTTGGACACTTATCTTGCTGGGATCCTTTGATCCTAGCTGACTTCCTGCCCCTTGGGCCTGCTGGACTCGCTGATCTTGCAAGGTCCCTTCCAGCCCTAATGTCTATGAAATCTATAAAATTTAAAGATGCACATTAATAATAAAAATAAAAATCATGGTGTCATGTTATTTATGGACATTTTGAAGAAAAAATTTGTTTTCAAGGTACATGAGAAAAGCTTGGAAAAGGACTGTTCTGGAAGAAACTGCTGTTAGTGATCTGTTTTTTTTTCCACTGATGGTATCTATCAGGCTCATAATGGGTTCCTGTTAAATCAAATTTTTTTATGGCATATTTTGGTTTATAGGAGATTCCTGTTGGTGGTCTAGATAAATGGTTTAAATTGGAACCAAGATCTAGTTCATCTCGAGTGCAAGGAGATTGTCACCTCATTCTCAAACTGGTTATAACTCAGGTAAGAATTGATGTATAAAAACCAAGGGGGAATTGTGCTTGAGTGCTAGTTTGAAATTCTTGGTGTTGTATATTTCATTAAGTATTTTACGGCTTTAAACACACACACTTACTCAAAATTAAGGACATTTAATATCATTTTTAACAGCATGGGGTCTTATCTTTAAAAGTGCTGAATAACATTTTCTGCTGGAATTGGTGTGTCAAACCCTTTGCTTTAGCATGTTGTATTACTGTGGAAATTTAGATGATGAATTTGGTAGTGATTATTTCCTGTATGGTTGGGATAAACTTGGGCAAGCTTTTGAATGTAATACGTTCTTCTTTAGATGTATTGCATTCAAACATATTGCAATACACTTGGTGTTACATGTGGTTGGTTCAATAAAAGATATCACCCACAGAAATCCTAGCCCTTTAGAAAGTGAATGCTTCTTGCAGTGCTTGGTTAGTGTATTATAATGCTTGGGCCATCCTGTTCCAAGTTAGTCCAGGGCAACATTGTGGGAAAAGGCATACTGACTGCCCTGAGGAGCTCTGTGTGCTTTTTTTTTTAAATCAGGGAGACATCTCACTGGACTCTCATAATTTGTCTAATATCATTAAGTGGTAATAGCTAAGGGCTGTGTATGAGCACTGCTTGCTTGAGACATGCAAGGGAGGCACAGGCTTCAAAAAATCTGATTTGCCCCTTGCTACCTGGCCTTTCAACCAGTCAAACCTGCAGTCACATGTGGGCCACTCCTGTCTGGCTGGTGTAGAGCAGTGTAGTTTTTATGGATGTCTAGCAAGTTTGCTGGAAAAGGCAGTTGGGGGAACATAAAATAATAATGAATTTGTACCAAATTTGGCAATGTTGAGATTTGTCTTCCTTACAGGCTTTCTTTTTGCTTCCTAACGAACCTGTACTTTATTAAGCCAAACCAAGACTTCATCAGATGAGTATTAAAATAGATTAAATGTGTTATTGCTGAATGATGTTTCTGTTACAGAGAGAGACATTATTATGCAAGAGGACATCAAGCTTAATAATGCATGAAATGCTACTGAGACAGCTGCTGCAATATGAGCATCGACAGAGAGAGGTAAATACCCAATTATTTAATGCTTGAGAGTCCTTTTGTTTGCATTGCTATTTGAGCACTGATTAGAGCAGAACCATCTGTGCTTCTTAACTAATTCCCATTTTACCTGCTATTCTTTCATTATCTAGTTATACTTAAGCTATTAAATTTTGTCAAGATATCTCCGTTATAATTTTTAAAGGAATGCCAGATGGCATAACTTTTCAAAGGATTTTTCTAAGTTAACATGTTTTATGTGTAGTAAATAAACTTATGTAGAAAAAAAAGAACCCATTAAAATAAACCTTGCCATAATATTATATTTGCCCAAATCCCTGCTGCCTGTTCCATCCCCCCACTCCCCCAGTGCCTGCATGTCCTGGCACCTGCTCCCTTCTTGGTGCCTGGCCCCCACTACTGCCTGTACTCCCAGCTCCCTCCTGCCTCTGCCCATCCCTTCCCTGCCACTGTTGCTTACGGTCTGGCTTCAGCTCTGGCTGTGGTATGGCTTTAGTTCTGTTCCCACCCAGAGCACAGAGCTGTGGCCAGGCCACGGAACCAAAGCAACCACATTCTCCCTGCCCTGGGTGGGAGTGGGACTGGAGCCCTGCCAGTGGGTAGGGAGTGGTAGGGGGAGAGGGTGTGGGCAGCAGATGGGAGAGCAGAGATGGCTGCGGGGCATGCAGCAGCTATGGCTCTGACCTCAAGTCAGAGCCACAGTCAGAGCTGCAACAGCTGCCTGCCCCCACCCGGCACTTGAACCCAGATAAGGGGCTTTTTTCTCCATGTTAAATAGGGGAAGAATATCTTGGCTTGGATTTGAGTAGATACAGTAATACAAATCAGTCACGAGGCAGGGGTCTGTTACTTATGGAATTGTTAGAATTAAATTTTAGAAGAACTTGCGTAGCAATACTGTGTCACAAATTACTTTCCATAAAACAAGGGAAGTAATGGATAATGGGGACAAAACCTAATGATTACCAAATCCGGAAAAAAATATAATACATTAAGTGATATCATTACATGTAAAAGAATGTTCAAGAATGATCAAAACACAGTATTCGCTCTGTACATGCAAAGATGCCCTGATTGGCTCATAGATAAAGGTGCTGTGGTGACTGTGAAATACAAGCATCCACTCGCTTGGTGTGGATTTTATTTATTTGTTTGTTTATTTTAATGACTAGGGCAAAACATTTTGGCTTGGGTCCATGCAGCACAGCTTGTGTGCTCTGTACGGCCAGGAAGTGCTAGTTTGAAGATACATTGCTTTACACATCACAACATTACTTCTCTTACGTTCTAAGGAAAGAGGAGAGCCACTCCATGTAGATAACTGTCTCCTGATGGCCAATTTAAGAAGCACCTGGAGTGCCTGCATCAGAGGCGGCCACACACTTTTGTCCCTTGTAGAAACAGGTTGAATGAGATTAACTTAATGATACCCAGGAAGGGGGAATGGGATTTTTTGGAAACTGTCTAAACTAGACATTTTGTCTTTTATGCACAGGTATACTGTAAGTCATTGCTTGAACTTCTTAATGGAATTTAGATTACAAAAAGTAATATGTAAAAATCCAACCATGAGAGACCACTGTCTTTGCTTTAAAGTATTAATGAAAGCCATCTCAAGAGGTCTTGAAACTTGTTAAAGCTGCCACTCACATGGTTAAATTATTTTTACAGCCTGATTATTACAACTGGAAAGGAGAAGTGAGCAAATTTGCTTTTACTGTGATTTCTCACCATCGAACACAGACAGACCTTTCACCTTTTCAGAATGCTGTGGTGTGAGTATGGTCCATCAATCTAATTCCTCGTATTTTACAAGGTTGATTCCAAGTCTGCCTTTATTTTTCTTCAAAAAGAGCTGTAAAAATGTACTTGGCTTACCATATTGACTCACATACCACAAACATTCTTCCCCCCCTCTAGTTTTAGGAAAACTAGCCATCCAAAATTGGGGTGTGTTTCTTAAATGAGGAAACTTATTTCCACACCAGAATGGAGGCATGGAGAGGTTGGAATGACTGCCAGGAGTTCTGCTTCTCTTGCCAAAAGCTGCTGCTGATTAAGCAGTAGCTGTGAGAGGTTTAATGACACTGAGTGGAGGACTCTGTCCCTCCTGCATGTAGTTGGGAGCATTCAGCCATGATGAGCCCATGCTGTGATTGGTAAGATTCTTGTATTAAAAAAAAATCATAATTCTGCCTTCTCAAAACAAGGTTTGTGCCTCATTCAGGGGCATGTGGCATGCAAGTAAATGCAGTATGTGCAGAGCTAATTTACCATGTAATTGGTAGCTGACTTTGTGCTTGTAGTATTCTTGTTCATGCAATAAAAATACCAAGTCAGAAATTATTTTAGTCAATTTAACCCTTTGGGTCCTTTCCTTGGTTATTTGATTCTATTGTGAGGTTTTATAAGGGCATTAGCAGTTGAAGGTCTTTATTGGGAGTATTCAATTTATAATCAGGAGAAAAACTCTTTTCCCTAAAGTCATACATAATCATAGGAAAGTGGTAGTGGAGTAGACCTCATGAGGTCATTTAGTCCGGTCCCCTGCTCAAGACAGGATCTTCCCTGACTAAACCATCCCAGTCAAGGGTCTGTCCAGCCTGCTGTTAAAAATTTCCAAGGATGTGGATTCCACAACTTTTTTATGTAGTCTGTTCCAATGTGTGACCACCCTCATAATCAAAAACTTCCTTCTGATCTCCGACCTGCATTTCCTTTGCTGCAGCTTGAGGTCCTTGTTCCCAGTCCTATCCCCTATGGCCATAGAAAAAGCCAATCTCCACCGTCTCTGTCATTGCTCTTCAGGTATTTGAAGACTGAAGAGCCCCCTTAGTCTTATTTTCAGACTAATTAACCCCAGGTCTTTCAGCCTTTCCTCATACGCTATGATTCCCAAGCATCTAATCAATTTTTGTTACACCTTGCTGGACTCTCTCCAGTATGTCCATATCCTTCTTGAAGTGTAGGGCCCTAAACAGTTCTCCAGGTGAATCCTCACCAGTGCTGAATAGAGTGGAAGAATCACTTCCCTTGATCTACAAATGACACTCCTGTTGATACGAACCAGTATACAGTTGGCCTTTTCGCAACAAGAATACACTGGTGGCTTATGGTCTACTGTAACCCCCAGGCACTTTGCTGCAGTATTGGCTAGTCATTCCCTGTCTGGGGACATGTAGTTGACTTGTAATCAGAGTGGCTTTGCACAGTGGGTGGCTCTGGTGCAAGGTGGGCTGGTGCTTCTGACCCTGCTGCTGCTGCCACTTGTTTGCTGCCTGCTTGTGGGAGAGGTGATGCCTTCTCCCCAGCTGCTGGGTGGCACAGGTAAAGCCCCCCAGTTCTGCTGGCTGGATCTGGTGGTTCCATGGGCTATATGTTGCTGATACCTGCTGTAAGGAGGTGGGCAAAGATCTTGTTTCTTGAAATATTAAAAATTGGACTGGGCTGAACAGTTAATCAGTAAACATACAGAAAGACACTAGCAAGTAGGAGGGATATAGTTAATATTTCCCACTTCTGGACATTATGATTCTATCAGAGATGTGGATATGGGGCTAAAAAAGAAAAATAAATGTTGACAGGGTGAAGGAAATTGAGTTGCTAATAAATTTGTTTCTCTTTGTATAACACTAAGACAATGGCAGACATGTAGCAAACTCCATCAGAAATGGAACATGGACTATTCTTACCTTCTGGAGCTCTTAAAACACATTGAGGAACAATGGGATCCTGCTGTTCTTCAGAGAGAGCAGGTGAGTATATCAGTTGCAGAAATTTTCCATCTGAACGCAATTTAGAAAAGAGAAATTTGTTAACATTAAGCACGAAAGAGGAAAAACACGGAGGCGTGTCTCTCCGCTGTCCTGCACCAAACTCAATATAAGTAAAGATCGTAGGTCTACAAAATACACTTTTTTTAACCTAGTTTTGACCAGTGCTATTAGCCAAATGTCGTTTTCCTGCAGGTTGTTTTTCCTAAGGAGGAGTGACTGATGATGAAATCACGTAATTGTTTATTTTACAAAGAAATGTCATGCAATTCATTTCTCTGAAAAAATAAGTATGTTGTTGTCTACGAAAGTTTACCCCTCTCTGAACCAGTTAGTCTCTAACCCTAACCCTGCCCTGCCTCCTGCCTGACTGCAGATAAACAGTTAACCACCTCTGAAAACAGAAGGAATCAAAGAAGTATTGTTTGCTCATGGCTTCAAGCCTTTTTTGGGGAGTACTAAACTCCAAAATACTCTTAAATAGCCTTTTTCTCAGGGTTGTGCTACCAGTTTTTCTTCAGTAATGTAACTAAGGGCAGCACCGTAAGTGCTGACAGGGGGTGGGACAGGGCACAGAACAATATCAGTTGCTGATGCCACTGCACCAGTGGCACCAGCAGCCAGAGGTTGCCACTGCCCCCATGCATCACCTCTGTTCTGAGCACCAGCTGCTTTGTTACACCTCTTGTCCTTCTGTCACATTCTTCCGTGCCATTTTCTCACAGCTCTTTTGTTTCTGCTGTTTTTCTCTCAGACACTGGGACAGTGCATTTCCAGTTCTTCAGTAACTTAACTCTTTGTTGTCTGTATCAGTGCGTCAGGAAACCAACTGGGTTGCTTTTATTTTTATTTTATTTTATTTTTTTACAGGAGGAGAACTTGGCTGAAAGTTTTAATAGCTTTGCTGAACACTGTCTCTTGCAGTTGAGGAAATTAAGGGAGATATTCCCTGTTGCTAACAGCATTGCCATTGGGCGTTTGGAATTCTTATTGAGGTATGGATCTTTTTGATAACAGTTGGAACTCACATTTACTTCAATTAGTATTAGGTACTGGTATACCTCTGCTTCTGAATTGTCCTGGGTTGCATTTTTCTCTTATTTCTTTCTTAGGTGTCTCAGTCAGATCTATAGCATGCAGCCTTTCCAAAGTGTTTGCCCCTTTCATAATGAGCTTCATGTAGAAATTGCAACTGCTTTAAAGGTATTTTACCAAATTTTTTTTTCTCTTTCTTTAGCTTGGTGAAAATATGATTTTTTTTTCCTAGCTGACATATGGAACAAATTAGGATTTTAATGGGGAATTATCAGTGAATATCTGTATTTCTGTTGGGTCCTCTTGGGGTGAAATTCAGTATTTATACCAATGATGGGGAAATAAATATTTGCTGATTGAGATACCTCAGAGTTGGTGGAGCATTATATAATGGGAAAAACAAGCCATTTGGTACAGAGCGATCTGGAGTCCTTGGTAAAAGGATACAATCAGAGGATATGTGTCTTGTTACAATCAAATACCAGGTTGTCTGTTTATGGACAGGACTGTAGGCCATATTGGCAGGAGGATTGTAATATGAAAAGTAGTAGGGTGGTCTCTGGTGATGACAAATTGAGCGTGAGTTCCTGAATTACAATCATGCACAACAAAGTTAGGGACTTATCCCCTTCATCTTGGGGGTCTGATGTACCTGCCACTGTCTGTCCTGGTTGCTTCCAAAGCTACCATCACTCCCTCAGGACTGTCTGGAGTGAGCCTCAGTCAGTAGCAGTGCAGGTATGTGGCCAACTTCCATCACTCAGCAACGGTCCTCAGTCAGGACAATTTCTGCAACGTATTTAAGTCTGACAACTTCCAGCTTCTAGGTGTTATGCTGAATGTTTTGGCAGAGTCTCGGTGATCTTACTCAAAAATTAAGAGAGTTCAGTAAGGCCTCAGGGGTGCCAGAGGCCAAGGAAGGGTTTGTAGAATAGAAGCCACAAGGACTTGGTTATGGGCAACTGGCACACCCCTCTGTCAACAGGAACCTGCAACCAGAAAGGATGTAGTTCCAAATGACAGGTTGCTACAAGAAAATCTTTCAGTACCTTCAGAATCTCAGTGAATAGCACTGGCCTAAACTTAAGCAGACAAGAATTAACAATTGCTTGTACTGCCATCAGAGACTTTGCTTAGGGCTGTGGAAATTTATCCACAAGGAAACGAGAAGTTTCCTGTCATCAGGAAGAACTCTGTCATCTACTGAAATTGTAATTAGTTGGCATGTACTGTGAGTTCTTCAGACATAAATACGGTGACAGTTACTTAAGGAGCAACGCTCTGTTTTTTTGGTTACACAAATAGAACTCCTTTGACATCCATACGATTGAAAAAGTGCAACTGAAAGTAGTATTTGGTCTTCTTTTTGAGTTTGGGGTTATAGAATATCTATAGCCGGTCTCTTATACCCTGTTTCAGAAAGGTACGCTGGAATGGTATGAGGAAATGCAGATCAAGGAAAGACTCAAGAGAAAGGTGAGAAATAGAATTAAAAAAACAAACAATACTGGAACTTTAAAAATGTCTTAGTTCTTGTCTCTGACTGTTTCCTCAGTCCTGCTTGAAGCCAAGAGGAGGGAGGATGTTTTGGGGACTAAAGCATTGGCCAGAAAGCCAGGGTATTTGGATTCTGTTCCTCACCCTTGCAAGATCTTCCTTTCTTGACCTTGGTTAGCTCCTTTCATGTTCTACTTCTCTACTTCCAAGGGATGTTATGAAACTTAAATCAGTAGATTTGTACTGTAACGTTAAGCCATGGTCCATTGATGGAGCAGAACAGATATAGGCTGCCTGGCAACAGCACTGGGGAAAGGATATAGTAGACCAGGGATATGCCATGCCTCCAGGACCATCAGTGAGGTGTAGTTGCTGTTCCTGGGTAGAGAGACAGCGTGACACACATCCCTCCTTGTGTACTGGGGAAACATGGCTCTGCTTCCCCTCGTCTCTCAGTGAACTTTCTGCAGCGGCTCTTGCCCTGTGAATTTTTTGTATTCTTTGCAAATTGATGAGATTCTTTGTAGTCATTGCCCATAAAATGTTACAAAAGTACAGAATAACTTTAAGTGAATTAGGATTTTATATGTGTGTGTCTCTTGTAAAGTTATTTTGTTTCATCTTTGGTGAGGGATAAATTAACTAAACATGCATGATCAAAACTAAGCAGAATTCTCTTTTTGTTAAAACCTCGACTATTTAATATTGGAAACTATGTAAACATGCTTATTTGTAAGATTTAGGGGTTGACAATCTGATGATGTGTATTGGAAAATTAAGCTAATTCAAGGTTTGTAACAGTCTGCCCCTTCATAACATGTCATGATCATGGTTAGTAAATGCCTTTATTTCTTGTAACCAGTCTTTACATTTTGGAATATATTGCACTTCATTACACTCAAATGTAGAGAAATGCTATTTTTACACTTGAATTGGGGACTGAATTTATTTTCAGGGCCAACTGAAAGAAAAACCTGTAACTGACACCTTTGTTTGTTTCAGAGTGAGACTGAGCACCTTCATAGCCTAATAAAACTAGTGGATGCAGTTCACAGAGATCTACAAATGAGCCAAAGTGTCTATAATAAACTGTTTGTCAGGTAGAACCTAAATCCTTCACTTGCAGCATGTGTTTGTGAGTCTGTTTCTTTAGCTCATAATATTCAGGAATTAAATCCGTTTTGGTGATGCTAAGCATTTTGCCCCTTCTGAAGTTTCTATAGCAGCACAGTGTTCTTCATTCCCAGGTCATTAAGTAGAGAAGAAACCTAATTCATTTTTTGGTAGATGCTCTGTGTTTGTCTCAGAGCTTCAAAAGGCAGTAGCAGAGGTCTAGCAAGATACGTCAGTGCTGGGCGCAGAGGTGGGCTGGGGGGGGGGGGGGGGGGGGGCAGGGGAGGGGGAGCAGCATCTCACCTGTCCCTGCTCTCTGTGCTTGGATGGCTGCTGTTACGGCTCTTGCCTGCCTGGTGCTATGCCCAGGCTCTGCAGGGCTGCCCCTGCTGTCAAAATGACTCCTGGGGCAGAGGGAACCCTATTGGGAGCCCCCTCCAAGTTGGCACCCAGGGCTGGTGCCCACTTGCTCCACCCTAGTTACGGTATTGGTCACTAGCATTACATAATGATAGCCTAATGCTGAATGATTGGTTTAAGTATATGGGGACATCAGTACTAAACAGAAATGTAGAAGGGTTTGTCGATTAACCAGTATGAACCTCCTGGTCTAAATATGCTGAACATTGCATAAAATAAAATGTTTTTAATTACTTCTCCAGTAGTTGTGTTTTAGCATGACTTCACTTTGGGATTCTTTTTCACATGTCTTGTACTACTGGCAAACACCCTTGGCAGATAGCTGTCAGTAAAATTCTGCCTTTTCACTGATGCAGTTTTTCTCTTTCACACTCAGTTCTGTATTCAATTCTTTTATAACTGCTATGAATTCCTTTTCTTTAGTGATACAGATGAATATGGCCCATGTAGGTTCTTTCTAGGTATTCAAATAAGAGAGTGGTAGGATGTCAAAAATATATAGATGGAAATTTAATTTAAAAAATACAATCTTTTTTATTATAGTGTGAAGATTTGTAGGTCTAATCATGCAGCCACTCAGGCTAATGGGAGCAGCTTTCTAAAGCTTATACTTTATGGATTTTTGTAAAGATGTTTACGTTGTTGATTTATAAGATATTATAATTCACAGAATACATGATTGTATCCAAATATGTGAATATATGGGGGAAAGGACTAAATTTGTTTAAGAATGGCCTTTCACAGTTCTTTGGCAGGGAGTAACTGTTTTTCCCACTTTTTTGTAGTATTGTGAAGGTAGACTTGTTTCCTATTTCCTATTGGCAGCTAGACAAATTGGTAAGAGTGACATGTATGTCTGCATTGTGTATGTAGCTGCAGTTCTTCTTCGGGTGTCATTTCAGAGTTAGTTTTTATTTTATTTTGCGTTAATTTGCAATCACCACACAGTAAGGTAGACAATTTCAAGCTTCAGCAATGTCCATAGTTGTATATTTGGCTTTGCTTTCTGTAAATCTTGGCTAAGCTTTGCAGTATCATGTGGAAAACCTGCAATAGTCTTTCTTTTATTTTCTGTTTCTTCTACAAAAACTTTCAAGATATAAATTAAACAATTTGGTTAAACATCCCTTTCATTGTACTTGACCCTCTTCCAACAGAGCTTGGATTTCTTAATGAGAGAGGTTGTTTTTTTGTTTTTTCAATTCACAACAGGTAGCTGACGATGTCAGTGTTGCTATGGAAGAAGTAAATGTGAAGCTGGAACAGGAGGATTGCAAACTGAAACCTTACATTGGAGAACTCATATTTGAACTTCATATCACCTTGAATGAAATAAAAGGTTTTCAAGAATGTCTCCCTTTGAAGTAAGTGAAACTGTTTCCTGCTTCATCTTGATGTAATTTGTATAGTAAATCAGACCACGCCATGCCAAGCAGCTGGGCCTTAGCAGTTTTGTCAGAATAAAATTTTTAGAATGCTTGGGAGAAATATCCCTCATGGAAATTTAAGGATATTATTCTTGTCTTACCCTCAGTGGATGTAGAGAACAACTGATCACCATCCACTGTATAACAAACCTATTTGTATCAAATATACCTTCTGACTTCTTTCCAGACTGTATAGTCCACATTCTTTCAACTTTTCCTAATTTGCCATGTTTTCTGGCTCTGTAATCACTTCTTTTGCTCTCCTTTTGGACTTTCTGCAGTTCATCCATGTCTTTCTTGAAGTGCAGTGCCCAAAATGGGACATAGTACTACAGGCAAGGCCTCACTGGTACTCAACAGAGGAAGAATTGCTTCTGTTTATTCATATTAGTATGTTGTTAGCTTTTTTTGCAACAATGTGATCCAGAGGCAGCCAGCAACCCTCTATGCATCCATCCTACTTTATAGAGACCTTGCATGCTAGGATCTAAGGGTGGTAGGAAGTGGGGTGCGGTTAAGATGGCTCCATCCTTTTTATTCTGGGCTGGACGGGGTGTACACTCCATCCCAGCTGTCTCCGGTCACTAGAAAGTTCTCCAGCAAGTGTACTAGATATGTACATACCAATACTGGAATACATATATGGACTGCATATCTTAAAGAACATACATTATTGTGCAGGTGAATTACCTTTTAGAAACATTCTCTCATCTTTTTGTATAGAGACAATAAGTCTTTGACCCTATCAGGATTTCATGAGTTGTTCAAAATCCCAATCCATATGTTGTTGAGGACATTACATGAAAAAACATGCGAAAGAATACAAAAGGCAGTGCAAAAAGACAAGGTGAGTGTTATAAGTAATAACAACAGACTGTGCTGTTTTTCACCCTGTTGGTGTTTGTATTTTTGGGGGTTTTTTCTGGTTTAAGACTGATACCCATTTACAAACTAGTCTAAAGTTTGCTTTATGTCCCTTCCATTAACTGCTCTGGAATTGTGAGTTTTCATGACAACAAAATATGCCAGGCGGCATGGTGAGAAATCAGACTCTTACAATACTTCCCTTGACTAACTGGTGGTTTCAGACATGGCAGAATTTCTCTCTTGAATAAATCACAGAATGATTCTTCAAACTCAGTACATTTCTTCAAACTCATTTACATTTTTCTCTGTTTTGCATGTTGTTGTTGGGTATTACAGTTATTCTGTGCAGCCATCAGTGTAACCATTTTTCCAGCTCTGCATAGTCTGGGATGCAAAGATTAAGTTTTCCCTTTGCTTTTTCTTAGCCATGTGCTTCTCTTTAAAAGAGAAAAGCAGTCAAATGCAAATAGATTTTAAGCACATAAGAAATCTTTATAGTCATTCAGGCTGAACTGCCAGGTACAGGCCAAATTCCTGCATTCTAGATCTTGTTGTTGAATTAGAAAATATTTTTTACAGAGAAAAATTATTCTGTCCCTAAGTGACAACTGTTTTGCAACCCCTTGATTTCACTTAGTATTGTTTTTTGCTTCCTCAGAGGGGAAAAAAGGGAATATTAACAGTATTGGGGAAGAGGATAAACAGTTTCTGTGTTGCCTTTGGTTGCAACTCCAGTGTTTGTAAATGTGCCTTTTTTTTCCCTGCCATTCCTTCAATCTGATACCTCCTATGTTGGCGAAAGCTGCAGCATGGAGCTAGCTTGAGGCACCTCTTGTTACTAGAGCTGCATTAGACTTCTGCTATTACACACAACAAAAACTTGTATCTCTGTCTTAGGTTTTTTTTCCATTTTGTTTGTTTGTTTGTAAAACAAAACTGTTCATCTCTTTTAAAGGTGGCTTTTCTTTCACTTCAGACAAACTCATTGAATAATTTAGTTATATCTGCACATAATTATTGAGTGTTTTAAAATTCTTGCAATTAATAATATTCGCAACAAATTATTTAGCCAGTTGTCTTCCCATTTCCATTCAAGTCATTCCATTATCCCTGTAGGACCTTGGAGTGGAAGCTGAACATTTAAGATTTGTCACATGCAGTTTGTTCTTTTGCTTTTTTCTTCCCAAGGAGAAAACTGCGTCCTCGGGATAGTGTGTGTTATTTTTGTTTGTTTTAATTAGAGGAAAAAGGCCAAATGAATGACCTGTGCTTTTGGAGCGGAATGTGGAGTAGAACAGGCCGCTGTCCAACTTCACCATACTAGTCACTGATGGACACTCAGTGAAGGACATTCATAGGGGAAAGGCTCATCAGTAGGTCTTGAACGTACTAGATAAGGGGTACCACATCTGAATCAGACCTTCTTAAATCTCTGAATGCTGGAAAGGGCAGTGGGAGAGGAGGAAGGGGCGGTAACCCACACCCCTCTCCTCAGCATCCACTCCCTGCACCAGAGAGACAGGACACGGGTGTAGGGGGACCTATGGTCTGACCCCGGAAATGGCAATACTTATTTTCTTATGTTCTTAATGCTTGATCTTCCTGGGAAAGGAGTGTGTTCCGGACCATTGTTTAGGATGTCAGTTCTTCACAGGGACTCAGGAAAGCATGGAGAAAACTCCATGTAGCCCACAGTTTTTGCCTCTGAGAAACTTGGAAGAGCGATGTGGTTGTGGCTCGCTCTCTCTTATTCCCTGGGGTACAATAGTCTGGAACAGGGCTGTCAGACTGGTAGTCCGTGGGCTGTATGTGACCCACATGGGGTTAATTTGTGCCCCCCCCCAGGCTTCCACCTAGCTACTATTTCCCCCATTGCTCTGGCTGCAGAAGCACCTGGGGGCTCCAGGCTCCAACGGGGCAGGGCACTGAAGTGCAGTGCAGCCCACAGTGTTGGGGGACCCCACAATCCAGGATGCCTAGGAGGCATGATACATCTGGGGAGACGCAGCTGGGGAGCTTAGTATGAAGGGTGCCCAGGTGGGGGTGCAGTAAGTGGGGCCAAGCAGTATATGGCCCCCACTAGTGCGGCCTGTGGGTGGTGCAGCTCCTTGCCCCTTGGATGTTGGACAGCCGTGGTCTGGAAGATACAAAAGGCGCAGAAGTGACCACTGCGTACTGCTGTTCAAAAAGAAAGTGGTGATCACTTGTTCATGTGGAGTAAAATCTGTGAGGACAGAACATCTCAAGAACCCGTTAACATTGGTCAGGAGTTGTTCTTTAGTCTCAGCTGAAGCCTTGTTTCTTTTGTGCAGCTGGAGTCTGTGGATTCGGTTTCAAAGTACAGCAGCTCTGCAGTTGACGTAACAGTCTGTTTCTCGCTAATGAAAGAGCTTTGGCTCCAGCTTTCCTGGCCTGATGCCACAGAAGCCTTTACTTTTATAACTCAACTTGTGGATGTAAGTTACAAAGTGCAAGTATGTCTTATTACTGTTGCTTTTTCGTTAGAAGGTGTGATCTATGAAATAAGATTTTTTCACTGGAAAATGACTTTCAGAGAAACCCCACACACAAATGGCAAAATTGTTTTACTAGCTTCACTTTTGCCGGTGTAATGAATTTAGGGTTAATTTGAAAATTAAATATTATATTCATGTTTAAAGAACTGAAATGCTCTTAATAAGGGGAATCTTCCAGCTGATCTTGGTTACTTTGCATAAAAGTACTATATTTCCCTATGAAAGTAAGGTCTATTGTGTCGGACCTTCCGTTGTTTGGATATTGTTCATAAAATATTTTTGTATTTCAAAAGGCCCTCAAAAGCATTGATCTTATGTAAAAATAGTAAGATTTCAAACGCGTTTGTCAGGTGACTCGGAAGGTAGTTTCTTCATCAGTTTTCTTAACTGTCTGTTGGTACATGTGAATAACTTAGATGTGCTAGTGTTAGAGTTACGTTGCAACTGTGATGGCCCAGGAAACGCAAGAATTTCTGTGGGTGAAATCTTTTATTAGACTAACCAAATGCAATGCGTTTTTGTCTTCAAAAGCTTGTCTAAGTCTATCCCAACCATGCAGTTGGTTCAGTAGAAGGTATCACATACAAAAAAATCTTTGTCTCTTAGATGCAACTCTGATTTTTGGGGAAACTGCAAATATTTTTCCATTATTTTCCCTTCTTTTCTATTAGTAATTGAATAGGCTATAAATCATAAATGCCATACTGTCATACCTGCAGGTCCAGTAGCTTGGTATTCTCTATCTCACAGTGGTAGTGCATGCTCATATGTGCTGTTATGGTGCATATGTGCAAAGATTCTTGTATCACACTGGGTGTAAACAGAAATAACCCTGCTTACTTGAATAGAGTTGGAATTAGGAGAAATGTGAATAAGAATGAGACACTCTAACTCTTTTTGCTTTTGTTTTGTTTTTTATTTAAAAACATAACCTTGTTGGAGAACTAAAACTTTCTTAGGAGACCATGAATAGCTTCCACATTTGTGCTTACTGTGAATAGAAATTGCTTGTGGTCTGCTACAAGGTGCTCAGCACATGGCAGTGCTGAGTGGGGTTAATTTTCAGTGACCCCACTTAAATCGTAACCCACAGTAATCTGGATGTAGGTATTAATGGTTAACATTTAATACATTTGCCATGCACACTTTGTTCACTAAATGGTTTTCATACTTTTTTGTGGCTGTCTGGGACTCTTTTCAATGACACTTCAATTTGCTGGCTAATTTTACTTGCTGGCTAATTTTACATTGTCTTTCATTTTATTTTTCTCCTTTAAAAAATAATGGATTGCCTCTCTGTTGGTGCACTGAGGAGCTTGAAACAGCAGTTGCAATTCCTGAATCTAAAGTAGTGCTAGTAATCAAATGGCAAGTTCATACAAGCTTTTTTAAAAGACAGAGCACTGAAAATTAAACTCCTGCTGTGTTTCATAAATGTTTAATTGAATCTTTTTAATAGATTCCTTCTTTCCACCTCATTACAGGATATCAGCAGGGCAGCTATTCAATACTCAGAACTGATCAGACGAAAAGTTGATAAAAGCCACCATTCAGAAAGTGGAGTTATGACTGAGCAGGTGCGTGAGGTGTGATGAAATGAAAGAATGAAGCAGTGTTTTCCACACCAGTGTTTATGCAGTTTAGTAATATCTTATCCTTAAACATGCTTAAAATAAAGTTATGCAGAAGGTATGGCAGGGTACACCTTAGAAATTAATGGTTCAGGGAGGTGTGATGCATTTGAACAAAACATTCTGTTTGACTTTATTTTAAAGGGGAAGTCAAATCACAAAGCATAATTCTACAAGTGTCTCTCTCTTGGGTTTCTTTAGTTTCCTTAATTAGTTTCTTTTACATATAGTAAGAGTGTATGTGTATGCACATGTGCTCATGTGTATTACCTACTCCTCTTGAACAGGATAGTCTTTTAAGAGAAATCCTTCTCTTTCATGATTATCCAATTGTGGATTTTTGGCTATTTATTTTTTTGACAATTTAACTTTTCTTTAGTAACTCCAGTTTGCCTTAACATTTTTCTATTTAACCTTTTTCCCACTTGATTTTGTTCTCAAATTAGAAAAAAAAAAAGCCCTTTTGATACACTTATAGTACTGGCTGGGATTAGTTTCTATTTACTCTTAATGTAATTGGGTCATGATACAAAGAGAAACCCTAGTTATAATGATGTCCTCAGTAGTCACTAGTCATGTTGGGTGTGTAACATTTAGAAATTTTAGTGAGTGATGTTTTAGTGCGGAGTGCATGCATCTCCAAATACAAATTCCTGATAACATGTTTTCTGTTTCTAGATGCTACAAATATTATCTGCCACTCTCCTGTTTTCTGCTTGGTTAGTTGTCTGTAGTGTACACCCATCAATATCTTCTGGGGACATTGGTTCACATGCAGTCTGGAGCATGAAGTTTAGAGTTAATAGTAACTCCATAACATGGAGCTTTCATGCTGAATGCTGATCCCTCCCATTTTCTGTCCTATCCAGCCTAAAGTGGTCATAACCAGTAATTATAGCATTCCAATCCTGTTAATTATCCTGCTGTGTTTCAGTAATACCACTTATCCAATTTCTTCTCATCAGTCAGAATGTATAGTTCATCTTGTTTTTGTCCAGTTCCCTGTACAATGGATATAACAATATTACTGAAAAATGGCAGGGTGTTTCAGGTCTTCATAGAACTTGAGCATTCCACTTTCCTGTTTGTTGGTAGAGTCTGAGAGATGCATTTTTGCATAGATTAAGCTTCCTTTGGAAAAGAAAAATAACTTTCTGTCTTATTAATATAACTTTCCAAATATGAACTCAGTATATGTAATATGGTGTTATCTTCCTAAGTTTGTATGGTGCTATCTTCAATTCCTTTGTTTCAGTTCAGAGCTTCCCCAAGTACTAGTAGCAGTAGAATGAATATGACAAACTCATCAGCTTTGTAACTGCCTAAAAGCTTCTGAGTAGCAACCTGGAAGCTGACGAGGAGTGTGTTGGTTTTACATTACTGTGCTGCTGCTGCAGACGTTGGAGTTAGACAAGGGAAGGGAAGAATCCAGGAAATGGGGTGTGCAAGAGAACAGTAGAGACTCTTCTGTTCACATTTTGAAGTAGCTAAGAGTCTGGTTGATTTGGAAAAAGACACAGAGACAGCTGATACTTTCCAGCTGCCAGAGGATTTAGATAAAAGTGCCTTCAAAGTGAATGGGTTTTAAGCAGCCATAAACTAGAACAGAGAATAGAGCTTAAAATTAATGGCCAGGGGCATCCTCTTAATAGCAGCCCTATTACTCTCCCCCTGCCTGTCATACTGGGAGAGAGTATTTGTATTTGTTACCTGATTTTTTTTCTTTTATCCTGGGGCCTCACCAGTAGCCACTTCTTTGGGCTCCTGTACCTGATATCAGTTTCTCATGCCACTTTTTAGTTTGCAGGTAAGTTCCTCTTCTAGCAGGATATCTGATAATATTTCAAATGGATACTTATGTTGTACATATCAAAATACTGTGTGTTACTCATTGGGATGTTTCTATTCTTTCATTGCACCAGATATTTAGAGTACTTGGAACATGCCTTCAATATAAGCCATTACCTTTTCTTCATTCCCTAGCTCTGCACAATTTTGAATAATGTTGAACATGTTCGGAAATTCATTGGGCATATCCTAAAGGATTTAGATTGGAAATCTCTGGAATCGGTGGTGGTGGAATCCTGTAGCCCAGGACACAAACGAGTTCCCAAGGCACTTGACGTTCAGTGGCAGGGTATTGACGTAGATCTGCAGAGACAGACTAAAAATACAATCGCCCACTTGACAGACAAGGTATTCCTGGGGCTTTGCAATTCTTCCACTTATCAACTCATCTTTCTATTTAGTATTAAGTTATATATATATAGTTAGTATATAAATACACAACTGTTCTAAATTTCAACATTATTGAACTAGTGCAAAAAGCTAGTATTTTTTTGATAACTGCTAGAGTTACTCATATTCCATCTCCAGTATGAAATTTCCACATGTTAAATTAGGGAAGGAAAGCATGAAATACACTGTACTTGTTACTTTATTTATGTACAGTTTTTTCGGTTTTGCAAAATGATTTACTGATAAGGACACAGATAAGTACATAAATAAAGCAAGCTTGCAGGTCCAGGAGTAGGTATGGTATTGTGCATGCATAAGAGCACAAGCAATTGGTAGTATACTAGTCGAGATAAAATACATGATTGCTTGGTGTTGCATTGTTTTGCGCAAGCTTATACCCAGGTGGTACAAACATACCCAAGTGGCACTGCTCCTTGCCCATAGAGCAGGAGTTTCAGGGCTTCTTCCTCCCAGAGGGAAGATTTTTAAAAAGTTCTCGTCTCCTAGGCGGAGCAGAAGGATGGAGCTACGACTATCCGTCTCCACATAGTGTAATTGTTGCCAGGGTGCATTCTTCCTAGAGGTGGGTTTCTAAGAACACTTGTCCCTAGGGAAGAGGTGCAAGTCTGAGCAGCAACAGGCATTTACCTTCCCATGCTGAAACAGCACGTTGGCATTAGAAATGGACAGGGAAACATAAGTGGGAACAGACAGAAGTTACAGATACATAAAGTGAAACTTGTTGATTTTAACAGAAGAGGGGGAGATGAAGTTAGCAAGCCATGGCCTATCTTCCTGACCTCATAATTATGTTTTACTTGTTGCTTTCATTCATTTCATCTTTTGACTGTGAGCTCTTCAAGTGTAATATACAGTGTGTTTGCAAAATGCACAGACCTTATGAAGCTTCGGTCCTTATGGGAGATTCTGGAGACTAAGGTAGTAATGACAAAAAATAACTGATTTTTGACTTGAATAGTTCCTGCGCTTTTACCTGAACGTATTTATATGGCCATGTAAATTGTATTCTTTTGTTTTGTGAAATAGATGATAGGAGACATTAAAAAGTACATACAGCACATAAGCCTTTCTCCAGACTCTATACAAAATGATGAGGTAAGTTATGAGGCAGTTTTATTTTTATTGTTAATAAGTCATTTTACTATAACGTGATTCCTGTTTTAGTTTTCTCAATAATTAAACAATTTAAATAGCATATTAACCGTTTCCCCCTCTCATTACTTTAACTTCCTCTTCAGTCACTGGCAACTATTATGATTATCAGATCACACTATCAGTTGTTATCTATCATTCTATTTTATGAGTAACTATTTCCCTTTCTTCTCCTCCTTTAGGCTGTCTCCCCCCTAATGAAATATCTTGATGACAGATTAATAATACTGAATGACTCTTTAGTAAAGGAGAATCTCTATAGGTACTGTACCGCTTGGTCATCAGGTTACTTTACTCCAATCTCAAGTGTTATAGTATTACTGTGGTTTCGGAGGTAACTGGTTTTAGAATAAGCAATGATGTTGTATTCCACAGTTAAATGGTAGAGGTTATGTTAAATTGTTAATAAGTGAACGTCACTGTTATTACTCATCCTTGATGATACTGGCCATACATTTTGGTAAGATGCTTAGTAACAGAGGGGCCTAATTAGGAAATAAAGGGGGAGCATTTTGGGGCCAAAACATTTAAACGCTAGTCACCTCCCTTCCAGATCTTTCCCTCTGTTCCCAATTCCGTGCTACTATGGCTTTGTTCCCCATGGGCCACAGTTAGAAACTTCCCAGTGAAACTCCCTTCATTCTTGAGAAAACAGGGGTTCAAATAGGTCTGGGTCCCTTAGGTACAAGGCCCAGTTTCATCATGCAGCCTGCATTAAACCTCCATCATGCCAGCTTCTCGGAGAGAGGCAGGGATTAGAAGACGTGTTCACAACAGGATGTGTCTGTCTGCAACTGTTGTATAGAGGAACATGGTAAGGACTGTGGGGTCCTGGAAAGACCATGTCATGTATGATACTGGGCATATGTTGTGGTGCTGTAGGAACAGGTAAGCAGCTTTTCTACCTTATTTATAGTTTCATAGTTTCTAGGGTCAGACGGGACTTGAACAGATCATCAAATCCAACCCCCTGTCCTGGGTAGGAATGAATGTTGGGATCGTAATACCCCAGCCAAATATCTATCCAACCTCCTCTTGAAGACCCCCAAGGTAGGGGAGAGCACCACCTCCCTTTGGGAGCCCATTCCAGAGCCTGGCAGCCCTAACCGTAAAGTAATACCTCCTGATATCAAGCCTGAACCTGCTCTCAATCAATCTGTAGCCATTATTCCTTGTTGTCCCAGGTGGTGCCTGGGGGAACAGAGCCTCACCTATTTTCTACTGGTCCCCCCTGGTGAGTTTATAGATGGCCGCCAGATTCCCTCTCAGTCTTCTCTTGTGGAGGCTGAATAGATTCAGGCCCTTTAGTCTATCTTCATAGGGCCTGGCTTGCTGCCCCCTGACCATGCGAGTGGCCCTCCTCTGGACCCTCTCAAGGTTAGCTACATTCCTCTTGAAGTGCAGTGCCCAGAACTGGATGCAGTACTCCAACTGCGGCCTGACCAGCGCCACGTAGAGGCGAAGGATCACCTCCCTGGACCTGCTTGTGATGCATCTGTAAACACACAACAAAGTGCGGTTAGCCTTACTGACTGCTTCCTCGCATTGGCGGCTCATGTCCACCCTAGAGTCAACAATGACTCCAAGATCCCTCTCAGCCACTGTGTTATTGAGAAGGGTGTTCCCCAGCCTATAGGTATGTTGCAGGTTCCTTCTTCCTAGATGCGCAGCACCATGCACTTGTCTGCATTGAATTCCATTCTATTCTCATCCGCCCACCTCTGTAACCTGTCTAGATCTAGTTGGATCCTGTCCCTCCCCTCCAGTGTGCCCACTTCTCCCCACATCTTTGTGTCATCAGCGAATTTGGACAGCGTGCTTTCCACACCCACATCCAGATCGCTGATAAAGGTGTTGAACAGTACAGGCCCCAGGATCGAGCCGTGGGGAACTCCACTGCCCACATCCCTCCAGGTCAAAAATGACCTGTCCACCCCCACTCTCTGGGTGAGACCATCAAGCCAATTTGCCACCCATCTGACTGTTTAGGCATCAGTGCCGCAGTCGCCTAGTTTTTTTGTGAGAATGGGGTGAGAAAGTGTCAAAGGCCTTCTTGAAGTCCAGGTAGACAACATTCACCTCAACGCCCGCATCCAAGGATGTTGTGACCTGGTCGTAAAAGGAAAACCAGGTTAATCAGGCAGGATCTGCCTGCAGTGAACCCGTGTTGGTTGCCCCTGAGCGTTACCTCCCATGCTGGGCCCCCACAGATGTGCTCCTTGATAATTTTCTCAAAGGTCTTCCCAAGGACCAAGGTGAAGACTAACTGACCTATAGTTACCTGGGTCCTCCTTTCTCCCCTTGTAAATGAGGACCACACTGGCCCTTTTCCAGTCCTCTAGGACCTGGCCAGAGCACCACAAGTGCTCATACAGCTGTGCCAGGGGCCCTGCTATGACCCCCGCCAATTCCCTGAGTACCCTTGGATGAAGAGCATCCAGACCTGCTGATTTAAACATGTCCAGCCCCTACAAGAGTTCCCTAACTAGGTCGTCCCTGACCCTAGGCATGGCATTGTGTCCCCTGAGCCTGTCTGTAATCCTAATGGGGGAGTTGTCCCGGTCCCTGCTCAGAAATATTGAGGCAAAGGACTTGTTGAAGAGATCAGCTTTTTCCTTTGCTGCAATCACCAGATTGCCAAGTCTGTCTTGTAGGGGCCCCCCATTACCTGGTGCCTTCTCTTTACTCCCTATGTATTTGAAAAAGGGCTTTTTATTATCCATAATTCTAGTCGCCAGCCCTAGTTCCATCTCTGCCTTGGCCTTCATAACCACCTCCCTGCAATCATGAGTAACGGAGGTGTAATCCTCCTTGATGATAGCCCTTTGCTTCCACTCATTGTATGCTGCCTTTTGGCCTTAAGCCCTCCTGGATGCCTTTACTGAGCCAAGGAGGCTTTTTAGCACTCTTGCCCCCTTTGGTTCATGTTGGGTCTGACTCCCTCTGAGCTCAGAGGATTGTCTCCTTAAGTAACAACCACCCGTCCTGGACTCCCATCTCATTGAGGCGCCGAGTCCCCAACGTCTCTCTCACTAATCTCTTTAGCTCATTGAAGCTGGCCCTCCTGAAGTCAAGGACTTTTGCCTTACTGCTTGCTTTCACCACCCTGCGCTGGACAGTAAATTCTAGCAGACGGTGGTTGCTAATGCCCAGGTAGTCAAGCACCTGCAGATCCCTCACCAGGTCATTGCCTGTGGCAAGGACCAAGTCCAGCAAGGCATTTCCTCTGGTGGGATTGTGTACCTCCTGGGTTAGGTGGAGGTCCTGTATGAAGGCTGAGAACCTACGTGAGCGTTTAGATGTGGCTGACTGATCCTTCCAGCAGATGTCTGGGGAGGTTAGGTCACCCATGACAACCACATCCCTTGTCCTTACAGCCTCCGTGAGCTGACCTGAAAATTTGAGGTCCAGCTCATCCTGCTGGTGAGGCGGTCTGTAGTAGATGCCCACTATCAAGTCCCTTTCCCCATGACCCCCTTTTATTCTAAAGCAGAGCGCCTCAGTTTGCCCCTCTTCTGAACCCATCCTGATCATCAAGGATGTGTACTGCTCTTTAATATAGAGCGCTACCCCCCCCTTCCACCCCCTTTTCCCCCTGCTCTATCCTGTCTATACAACTTTTAGCCCTCGATGTCTACTGCCCAGTCATGGGTAGAATCCCACCAGGTTTGTGTAAGCCCAGCCAGGTCTGGGTTTTTGCTAGCTAGCAGGAGGGCGAGTTCCTCCTGCTTATTCCCCATACTTGTAGCATTTGTGTAGAGGCAGTTGAGACTTCCTATGGGTGTTTGTGCTGCCCTCTTGTTCCCAAATTTGCCCGGGCCCTTGTCACTTACCTGGGTTGTTCCTCCTTGTGTCACCTGGCTTGACGTCGAAGTGTCCTTCTGCACCTCTGCATCCCCATCTCCCAACAAACTTAGTTTAAAGCTGTAAATTTATTTAAAGATATTGACTCCAGTGCATCTTTCCTTTCAAATGCTTTATTCCAAAGGCCTTGGGGATGCAGCAGTATCCTCTGTTCACATGATCAATCACTGTCTGTCACTTCTTTTAATCCCTGTGTTGACAATGCATAAACCTTGTGGGACACGCATGGCAGAATTTGCATTCTTTTCAGGTTCCCTTGCATTGATACAAATCAAACATGGCACTGGTTCTCCAAGACAAAGTTAGCTACGCAGTACACTACACATAAGTACATCAGACTTGCCTGAGGTGTTTCTGTGCTGGTGAGAGGGTTAGGTGTGAATTACATTTTCTTCTTCTGGTCAGGTTTTCAACACGACATATGGTTCACAAGCGTTTTTTGGGGATTTGGTCAGTCGCACTATTTTTTCTAATTTGGATCAATAAATACAAAGGAAAGTTGGGGGCAGCTGCAGCTGGCATGGACTCACTTCCTAGTGGCGCACTGCACCTAGTGGCACATGGCCCGGTCCCAACTGTGGCAGAGCAGAGTGGTGCGGGGCACAGCCCTCCTTCTGCAGGCTCCCAGCAGTGGCCAGTGAGCCAGATAGGATCAAATGGTGGGCTGGATATGGCCTGCGAGCTGTATTTTGCCCATCCCTGTTCTAAACCCGCTCACCGTGGGGGAAGGGGTCCCCAGAAACAGCATAGGCAAACACCTAAAGTAAAAGGCATTGGTCAGCTGTATCAAAGGTCATTGAAAGATTGAGCAAGATCAGCAGGGCACTGTTTCCTCTGTCACTCTCTAAGCAAAAATCACTGACCAAGGCTACAAACTCTGTGCAGTATCCAGGGCAAAAGTCAGACTGACATGGGTCCAGGAATCCAGTCACATCCAGGTGTGCCTAGAACTGTTGGGTGACGAGCCATTCAGTGACCTTCCCCAGAAAAGGAGAGTTTGGAGATGGGAGTAATTAGCTGTCTGGAGAGTCAGTAACGAGTAGATGAAGGCAAAAGCAATAAGATCTTGTGGTTGTATAATTTCAGGATCTTACAATTTGATGATTCCAAATTCTTACAATATTTTTTAAATTGCTTAAAAAATCTCTGTTAGACTTTCTTGGTGCTCTGTTAATACTCTTCCTTTTTCCTTAGAGGTTGTCCCTGTATCTTGTATTTATTTATAAGGTTTCAGACGCTTGAATTGGAACAGAACATCTCATTTGTGCTTGAATTGGTCAGCTTCACCTTTATCAGTTAAACTAAACAGACAAGGAGATGGGATCAAAGTTTCTACAACTGTTTCTTCTTTTCTTCTCAGAGTTCTTGAGGATCTCTGGGGTTTATTGCTGAAGTTAATAATTGATGCTCTGGATAGTAATAGAGATGTTTCTGTGGAATTCTTTGGAAGATTTTATTATACACTTGAGGTAAACTAAAGATTTTTTTTCACTGCAGGCAACCCCCACTTAATGCTGTTTCACTTAGTGCTATTTTGCTATAACTCTCATTTTAAATTGATACCTGATTTCACTTAGCACTCAGCAAGTTTCATTATAACGCTCGCAGTCACCATCTTGGGTCATTAAAAACATTTGTGGTTGCCATCTTGGGTTGTCAGATACTTTGTTTCGCTTAACCCTCGGTTTTTCAGGAACCAATTAAGAGCGCTAAGCGGGGGTTGCCTGTATTATGATATTTTGGTCTTGTATAGAACGTGATAGCAGGATGAGAAGTAATGGGTTTAAACTGTAGCAAAGCAGAATCAGATCATGTCTCAGGAAACATTTTCCAACTAAGACCAGTAGAAAAATAGAACAAACAGTTTGGAAAAGTTGTGGTATCTCTTTGGAGATTTTAAAAAAGAGACTGGATAGGCATCCATCTGGAATGGTTTAGAAACAGGACATCCTGCATCTGTGCAGGAGATTGAACTAGCTGACCCTTGAGGTTGCTTTCAACCCTGCAAGTTTGTAGATAGTTTCAAATCAGAGCTGAGGAGCTGGATGGGTTATTTGAGCTTCCATTGCAAGCAGATCCATGCTGCAGACAAGCCAGCCTGCTCTGCAGCCGTCCTCTGATATCTCCCACAGTTTGGGCAACCAAAAAGGCTCTGGATAGCTTCACCTGAATTGTCTCCTAAGAGAAACCTGATTAGTTCCAGCCCTTCCTGATGCTTTTGGGTTCTTGTTTCTTGCAGGCTCTTGTTGGGTTATTCCATGCAGAAGGACAGGGGCTGCCTCTGGAAACTCTGTGGAATAGAGATTATAAGGCAAATATATTACTATATTTCTTGCATATAGCATACTGCTGTGTGTATAGTACATACCTTGGTTTTGAAGGGGAGCCTAAAGAAGAAAAACTCTTTGATTCAGGTAAGCGAGTGGCAACAGCTGGGAAGCCCAGGCTGCTTCCAAGGGTGGTGCCAGCTCTATGTGCCAGGTGGGCCCATGGACCGACCTGCCCAGTTCCAGAGCCACATATTGAGTCCAACCCTGCACACTGGCTCCAGAGCCACGTGCCAGATCAGACCCAGAGCATGAAGTTGGGACCACACACTGGGTCTGGAGCTGCACACCAATTCTAGAGCTGTGTACTGGGTCTGAGCCCATGTGCTGTTGTCAGGGCTGTGTGAGAGCCTGGGACTGTGCACTGAGTCCAAAATTGCATGCTGGCTCCAGAGCTGCATTCTAGGTCTGACCTTGGGTGCTGTTGCTGGGACTGGGCCCTGAGTCCAAAACTGCTTGCTGGCTCCAGAGCCACATACCAGGACTAACCCCATGTGCTACCTCTGGGGCTGCCTGCTGAGCCCAGGACTATGCACTGAATCTGGGTTGGATCCTAGCACCCAACTCAACATGTGGGTGGAGAGGAAAGCTCCCCACAAGTCTGGAAATTTGGTGGCAAGGGGGTGAGGGAGTGGATCATGATAGCGTTAATGTGACAATTAATTCTGCTCCCTCCTCCCCCACTCTTGCAAATGTGCAGGCCTGTGGGGATGCCTTTTCCTCATCTATAATGCTCGCTCCATAGTTTCATAGCTGGTCGGGTCGGAAGGGACCTGAGCAGATCATCAAGTCCGACCCCCTGCCATGGCAGGAAAAAGTACTGGAGTAAAATGACCCCAGTGAGGTGTTCGTCTCACCTCCTCTTAAAGACCCCCAGGGTAGGAGCCAGCACCACTTCTCTTGGAAGTTGGTTCCAGATCCTAGCCGCCCTGACAGTGAAGTCGCGCCTCCTGATGTCTAGTCTGAATCTACTCTCTGCCAGCTTGTGACCATTATTTCTTGTCACTTCTGGTAGTGCTTGGGGGAGCAGGGACTCCCCCAATACCTGCTGGTCCCCTCTGGCTAGTTTTGGGGGGAAAGGTGCAGCTTATATTTGAGAAAATATGGTATAAGATTATTTAAATTGATCTAAATCTGAGGAGAGGTTTAATTGAAAAGAAAAGAAGGAAGACAGCTATTTAAGTGATTTTGAACTTTCACAACCTTCAGAACAATCTATCATCATGTGATACAAAGGCTCAGAGCTTATACTGGGGATTGAAGCACAAATTATATTCCACCAGTTTTATCAAACCTGTATGAAATCGCCAGCAGTGTAGACCAGTGTTAGAAATTACCTCCAATCGCCTCTATTTCATGACATTTATAATCTCTGTAAGACTGTCCATAAAGTGGGTTGATCTCTTCATTCACAGAAAATTTACACAGCAATTTAGGACTCCATCATATACCACAGAAGTTCTGTGCACATGCATGCATATGTGTAATTTTGCGAGGCAATGAAGTTTCTCAAGGGCACAGTTTACCCTTAAAATTGGGATGTCATTTCACATTTAAATCAAAACAGCCCTTGAAATAACTCTATGCTCCCCAGCACGAGTTTGGCATACAGCTTAATGTTGATTCACAGTGAAGAGCACAACCTCCTAAATAGTAGTGATAGAAGCATTGGTTCTGGCAATTACTTTATTATTTTTGCCCTGGGAACTCTCCCTTCAAGTTCTGGCCCAGTCTAACCTTGTTTAGCTTGTGATAATCATGGATTGAGGTGATTTGAACCAGCTCTTATATCACACTGTGACAATACCATAAGTGCTTTTCTTGACCAAAGAAAATGTGTCAGGGTAAGTTGTTATCATAGGGAGTATTTCCATCCAAAACACTGTCAATAGTAAGTTGTGGGGGAAGAGATGACTAACAATTGTACACTTGCATTCTAGAGTGAAAAGCTGAAAGCAGGGAATAAAAACGAGCTCTTCAGCTGAAACCATTTCCTCAGTGGTAGCTTGCATAAAGGAAAAGAGAGTTAGATGGAAGAGGACCAGCACTTCCCCAGTCACAAGGCCTTTAAAATAAGTTGCATCTTATCCTACCTCATTCAGTCAGGCCCAAGAAAGCAACCATTACCTGGGTTCCTGTAGTATTTGAAATACTTTATAATCAATGATATATCTGCAAATCTCAGAGCTTCTCTACGTGTGCAGGCAAAGACACAATGAGATCTAATGCGCAATCTACACAGTTGTGCCTTCTGTCATGCCACATGTGTATGGCAGGAGGCGTGAATGTGTGGATCGTGCATTAGATCCCACTGCACCTTATTGCCGATGTAGAAGGAGCCCAATCCTGGGCTTCCCCTGCATCAGCAAGAAGCAAGCTCCCCCAGGTCAGCTGACAGGACTCCCAGCTTCAGGGGCACACCATGTGCTCCCATGGCTCGGAGCCCCATCAGTTGACCTGGGCCCCCAGCCACATGGGCACCCCAGGGGTCCCTGCAGCAGGGAGACCACAGCTGCTGTGATCTCCAGCCATAGGGTATACCACGCACCCCCACTGCTGGGAGACCACAGCTGCTGCAACCTAAGCGCAGTCATTTCCCAGCTGCGGGGTGCGTGTTGTTCCCCCACATGGCTGGGAGATCACAGTTGCTGCAAGGTTCTCCATCTTGGGAGGAAAAACCTGCAGCATCCTTATAGGCTCGGCAGTGCTATGTTGGCTAGCACTATGGAAGAAAGAGACTTGGGGGTCATCATTGACCACAAGATGAACATGAGCCTGCAGTGCGATGCGGCAGCTAGTAAAGCGACCAAAACGCTGGCTTGCATCCATAGATGCTTCTCAAGCAAATCCCGGGACGTCATTCTCCCCCTGTACTCGGCCTTAGTGAGGCCGCAGCTGGAGTACTGTGTCCAGTTTTGGGCTCCACAATTCAAAAAGGATGTGGAGAAGCTTGAGAGAGTCCAGAGAAGAGCCATGCACATGATCGGAGGTCAGGAAAACAGACCTTACAACAACAGGCTGAGAGCTATGAGACTCTTCAGCCTGGAAAAGCGCAGGCTCAGGGGCGATCTGGTGGCCACCTATAAGTTTATCAGAGGTGTTCACCAGGATCTGGGGGAACGTTTGTTCACCAGAGCGCCCCAAGGGATGACGAAGTCGAATGGTGATAAACTACTGCAAGACCATTTCAGGCTGGGCATGAAGAAGAATTTCTTTACTGTCCGAGCCCCCAAGGTCTGGAATAGCCTGCCATCGGAGGTGGTTCAAAAACTTGCATTGAACAACTTCAAGAGTAAATTGGATACTTATCTTGCTGGGATCCTATGACCCCAGCTGACTTCCTGCCCTTTGGGTGGGGGGCTAGACTCAATGATCTTCTGAGGTCCTTTCCAGCCCTAACCCCCCCCACCAAAACAACAAAAAAACCCCCAAAGCTGCAGGGGTGCATGGGGTCCCCTGCAGCTGGGACTCCTGTCAGCTGGGAGGTCCCAGGCTCAGCCCTTTACGTGCTCCCCCCCAGCTGGGAGCTCTGATTAGCTGATGGTGCTCCCAGCCACAGGGGTCCCTGGGCACACACTCAGTTAACTGGTGTGATAGAAAACAGCTACAAGTTATTACACATATTTTTGTGGAATAACTTGTAGCTTATTCCACTTTATCTCATACCATTAGTTGGTTGAACTTGTGACGGGGTGACCACTTCAGGCGTAATAAACTAGTTTATCATGCCTTAAGTGTTACGTGTAGATAGGGCCTCAGAAGTTACCTAACCCCCCTTTTCTTTCCCCTGCCCCAATGATATCAGTTTAGCATCCTGTGATTTGTGTTTCCTGCCTAGTAAATAATTGATTTTGGATTTTGTTCATATTCCTACAATTTCAGGTACTGGAGGAAGAACTGCGATTAAGTAAATGCACCACAAATGAACTTATTGAACATTATTACCTGGATAAGCAAAAATGGGTATAAATTAAGCTTTTAATTCAATGCTATTCATTCTGTGCTGTCCAGTGTACTGGTATTTCATGTCTGTGATTTATAGATTATAATTGGAAGTAAAAAGTAGGAACTACTTATACCAGAACAAGTCCATATTCCATCCAGTCTGGTATTCTGCTTCCAACCATACCCAGTCTTATTATTTTTGAGGAAGGTATAACTTTCCTTTCTAACTGTATTATGCAATATTCTACTTCAAGAAGATGTTCCTTTCTCACCTCGAGAACAGTTTATACCAGAAGCATGAAGGTTGATAACTCTTGGAATTTCACACTGTCTACTACTAGTGTTGTTGTTTGCATTTGTACATCTTGTCCTTTCTTGGATTGTCCTAATTTTTTGTTCAAATAATATTATGCAGCAGCAAATTATAAAATTTTAGAAAAATTTCTTTTTAAAGTATTCCATTTTCCATTCTATGGATTTCTCAAATAGTCCCTTGTACTTCTGTTATGGGGCAAGGAAAATGGGAGCTAGATTGACTTTCCTTAATTTTACCAGTGAAAAAAAAATCTGGTAATTTGATATATATATTTTTCTTTCATATGACTTTCCCTGACCTTTTTTCCATTAATTTTTTTCAGACTTGAATTAAGACATCTGTGCCCAAAAGCATGTCTAGCATCTCTTCCAATGATATCGTTCATCCAAAAAAAGATCACCCACCAAAAAAAAAACCTTTGCTCCTCCCAAATTTCTTGAATCATCAAGGCTACAAACAGCACTCTGACCCTTTATTGTACTAATCATAAATTCATAGGCTGCTGTCATGTAACTTCTTGATGGCAGCATGCTGCCTGCTCCTTCTCACGCTAAGGGTAGGAATAGATGCCACCAAATGAAGTGGATCAGCTGTGCTACAGTGTGTCCTGACACAGGTGATCTGTTTTGTTGGGTGCCCCTTGATGGTGTGGGACAAATGGCAGTGTGTTTTCTTGGGGCTTGAGGGCTCCAATCCTGCACGCCCTGGGCCGAATTGGGTTGCTGGGTTTCCCACTTCCCCAGATGCGTCCCTGGAGATTGCAGGAGCAGGTCTGAGTGAGGGGGGAAAGTCTGGGGTTCCTTGGCTACTCATCTGCACCCCCTGGGGTCTCTGGGGACCCATCTGGGTAAATGGGGAAAGCTTCACTTTGCTTGCTTACCCAGACCTACCCCTGGAGACCACGGGGTGACTGTGTGCGAGTGGGGTTCTCTGGAGGCAGGTCTGGGTAAGCAGGAAGAATGGGGCTTGTCCCGCTTACTCTTGGGATTTATAGTTTCATAGTTTCTAGGGTCGGAAGGGTCCTAGGCAGATCATCTAGTCCGACCCCCTGCCATGGCAGGAAAGAGTACTGGGGTCAAACGACCCCAGCAAAATGGTCATCTAACCTCCTCTTAAAACCCCCCAGGGTGGGGGCCTGCACCACCTCACTTGGAAGCTGGTTCCAGACCCTAGCCGCCCTGACCGTGAAGTAGCACCTCCTGATGTCCAACTTGAACCTTCCCTCCGCCAGCTT